GAAATAATGATTTTTAAAGCCACAATCATCTCCTTTTTATTCACTCGTTACTTTTTTTTTTTCTGTTTCCAGCAATTATTACCATAACATACATACCAACATGCACTATGCTGTGGGCCAGGGGCATGGGAGAGTACATGACTTAAGATACAGTATGTGTTAGTTTAGGTTGTAAAAGCTGATTAGGTTGGAAATCCAAAGCAAGTAAGGTTAGTTGCTATATGGTCCTCTTAGAGGCAGGTTTAACAATCAGGCTGAGTTCAGAATGAGATAGCAGTCAAGTCTAAAGTGACCACAGATGTATTATTAACTCTGGCTATGGAGTCCAGCTAAGGTTCCAGTCTCTAAGGATGCAAGAGATATCTTCATAATGGTGCATTGTGGCTGCATGGGCTTTCATCTCCATGACTTCCAGAAGATGCATCGTTCATTTAAGTAGTAGTTCACCTGGTCCTTGGAGGGTCCATCTTTCCCATTCCAGGGTGTCTAGTGACATTTCAAGAATATAGTAGGTACCTCTGTTACAATAACAGAAAAAAAAGAGTGTGCAGAGATGACCAAAATGTCCCTGAGAGCAATATTTTCACTACCTGATACCCAGGGAACACAGTAATCTTCAGTTGTGGAGTAAAGTGACAACTTCTCTACAAAGACCTGAATGACTGGAGTTGTCAGGAATGGGATACCCAAAGTTACTAAGGTGGCACTCAGGTACAGTTTATACATGGCTGGCCTGTAAGCAAAGGGGGTGAGGAGATCAGGGTCCCCCTCCCCTGGTCAGCTGGTCTAGGCTGATCAAATGAGCACCAGCAATGTGGGACACAGAGCTGCTGCTCAGATCCCATATTGACCAGTGTAGGGGTCCTCACTCCTGGGCTCTAATGCTGCATTGTAGTGAGATATTCACTCTGTCCACACTGTTGCACTGACCACTCCCACTGGGGGGTGAGGACAGGTATGGATGTGACCTGGGGGAACTAGGTCTGGGGTAGGGGACCCTGGAGCACTCTCTCGCTTGCTGCTTGCTGGACGGAGACAGAGGGCATCCAGAGGCATCCTTGGGACTGGTACCTGTTGCCATTCATCTGTCTCTGTTGTAAGCTATTTCTCCCTGAATAAACATCTATTCAGCCTATCTGTTTTTCCCCATCCTTATTTTTCCACGATACTTCATAGAGATTTTTTTAAACATAATTTCTTTATTGATTCCTTGGACATTTCCTATCATGCACCCCAATCCCATTCATCTCCCAGTCTCCCCATATCTGTCCCCAGCTTTGCAGTGTTCCCCAAAGTAAAATTTAAAGAAAATTAAAACTGAAACAAACAAACAAGACCTCTTCACTCCTCCATCTTTCCTACCTTTCCAACACCTCTTCATTCCTCTTAGTGCAGCGGGAGCCTCAGTGTGTCCCACAGTGACTTTTGTCCATTCAACCTTACTTGCAAATGTCCATTGCAATGAGTCATGGGTCTAGTTCAAGGCCTCTGGTTTCTGATACACCATCACCACTGGGCCCTTACTGAAACTGCTCTCATATTCCATAGCTACTCAAGTCATGGAGATCCTGCTATAGTTCCACAGGACCAGGTCTTTGATGGGGTGGATGTTAGGGCTAACCTAAGGCCCTAGATGTGGGCCTGGGTGGCAGCTGAACTGGTCACCCCAGGCCACTGGGGCCACCCCACTTCTGTTGCAACTGAGGGCTGTGTCATTGCCTGGGATCTAGTCAGTCACCCGAGACCATGTTGGTATCTGAGGGCCACACTTCAGTTGGGGCCATACAGATCTGAGTGGCCTATGCTGTCATCTGGTGTTATAGTGCTATTCAAGCCAGAGCTGAAGCTGGGGGCCATGTCTGGGTTTGTGGCCCTACTGCAACCAGGATCAGTGTTGATGTCTCAGGCTCCTGTTACCATGTGGATGCCTGAGGTTTGGGCTGACATTTATTACTTGTGCTTGAGGGAAATGGTGAAATGTTGACAGAAGGTACTCCATATTGCTAGAGTTTCTCAGAATGCCCACTTGCTGTAATTGGGTCAATAGCTAATTAATCAAGGGTATTGTCAGTGGCAGGGCATGCTGAATAATTCCCACCTACCCAGGAATCCTCACATGTCATACATAAACCACCGTAGCCCCCAGCCACTATGAGGCAGAAATGGGAGCTTTGTATTCTGTTTAGTTGCCGGTGTGCTCATTCGTCATCTCGAGAATAAAGGGGTTTAAATGCTCCTTAGAGTCAAGTCTCCTTGGATATTTCCCCAGACATAGTTTTCAAGTGTTTCTGTGTCTTTGTGTGTGGTCTCATGATGAGAGATGTCAAAGGGTCAAATTACTACCTTTAATAAATAAAATATAAACATGTAATTTTTATCACCAACTTTCTCATGTGGAGGCCCAATATGTTGGGGATTATAACATACATTTCTTGTCTATCATTCCAGATACCACAGAAAAACTGAAGGTCCTTTGATTTTGGATAGAAACATCATATTCATGTTCATTTGGATGATTGTTTTTTTTTTTTTTTTTTTTTTTTTTTTTTTTTTGAGACAGGATCTCATGTGTCTAGGATTAATTCTTACTCAGTAGTTACCCAAGGCTATGCTTAAAGTCCTGACACTCCTGCCTCAGTTCCAAAGTACTGGCATTCTGAGTGTGTGCTTCCACACTCGGGCATTAGTTTATTTACTGTTTGTTTATCTGTCTTTTATTTACTGAGAGTTGAACCCACAGCCTGTGTGCACAAGGTAAATGTTACACCACTAAACTACAGCCTTGGCCTGTTCCTTAATTTCTCTTTTGAGGCAGACTGTCATTAAGGTGTCTAGATTCACTTTGTACCTGTTCTGCCCCTATGTAGTGTAAGGTGATCTCTAACCCAAAATCCTCCTGTCACTTTGTCCTGGTATCTTAGGATGCAGGTATGTCATTTACCTATCACCTGTCATCTATCTATAGTCTATTACTCTTTTGTCTCATTCTCCTGTCATCTATCTGCCTGTCATTCTTTCATCAACTATCTGCCTATCATATTTATATCTATCTCTCTGCTTCTATCATCATCCTATCTATCTGTCTTCTATCATCTATCATCTATCTGTTGATCATCTATCTCTCTCTGCCATCCATCTGCCTCTCATTCATTTATCATCTATATGCCTATCATCTATCTTTCTATCTTCTACCTATCATCTGTCACCATCCTATCTACCTATCATCTATAAATCATCTATCTCTATCATCTATCTATAATCTACCTATCTACTTGTATCTATCTATCTATCTATCTATCTATCTACCTAGCTATCTATTATGTCTGCTTATCTGTCATCCATCTGTCTGTCTGTCTATCTGCCTACTTCTCTCTCCATCCATCTCCTTTCCAAACCCCTTTCTGGCATCTTCATGCATGTATAGGATGCACACTGAGCTTATTCTCTTAGTTATCCTCCTTAATGCTCTTACAATTTCTCCAGCGATCTGCTTTCAAAAATTGAATATTTTCTCTCATGTGCAGAATCTATGGAGAAAAGACAGCCCCCTATTTTGTGATCCCATCGACTCATGTGGCTTCAGTTTTCTGCACAGGGAAGTTTTCCAGGTGTCATTTCTTGCCATTTTTTGAGTTTCAGATTCTAAAAGATGTTATTTCTCTGGCTGTGGCTTAACCCTTAACAGTTCTGTTTAAATTTCTCATGACTGATACAAACAAGAGGCTTTCTCACAAAAGATGCCCCTCCCCCTTAATAACAATACTTGGTGGATGAAATAGATTCCCCATTCCAAGGACACTGACTACCTACAAAGCATCTTCTTCTTACCAGCCTCTCCCCTGCCCAGCCCAGTCTATCCCCTCTGCCCCAGCCCCTTCCTTCCCTGCCCAGCCCAGTTCACCCCCTCTGCCCTAGCCCCTCCCCTGTTCAACCCAGTCTACTTCCTCTACCCTAGCCTCTCCCCTGCCCAGCAAGTCTACCCCCTCTGTCCCCACCCCTCCTTTGCCTCAGCATCCCTGACTTCTGTCTGTACCTAGACAACCCCTGCCTTGGTCGCTTCATCTCTCTCCAAGGGTCCTTCCTCTCTAGGTACTAGGTCACTCCTGAACATATACCCTGACATCCCTCTTCTGTTTGTACCGCCCCCCCCCCTGCAAGGGTTCTTGCCACTTGCCAAATATAACTACACATCTTTCACAAGATGCTCAGAGGCCTAGCTGTTCCTCCTTCCTTGGCAATCTTTATTGTTCTCACCCTGGGTTCTCATTTTGTTGACCTGTGTACCTTGTGCACAACATGCATGACTAACCTTGTGTCACTTCACATGTACTGATGCATGTTTTCGGGACAGGGTTATTGCTTGCAGGCTAGGCTCATTCTCACTTATGGGCCTGCTCTCATACTGGACCCTTGATCCTGCACAGCTTTTCTTCCTGGTACCTGCCTGCTTTCCCACTTTTAAAAGCATCTTACACACTTCCATGCAGCTCCTCTTGTCCCCGCCCTGGACACCTAATTTGTCTCTGCTGGGTTTCCTAGAGGAGACCTTTGTCTTTGTGTTCTCAGCTTGGTAATGGTACACCTGCCTTTACGTTTGTCAAGCAAAGGGAATTAATCAGCAACCTTAAAATGAAAGCCTCCTGGCAAGCAGGGATAATACATTAGTATACATTAAGCATCTCTCATGCAAATGTGAGCTGCAGTGCCTACTCTGGCACCTGCCAACTTTCAGTATGAAGTTCACAACTGGTGACCGCCTCCCCTCATAAAGAAAGGTTCAGATAAGGTGACCCTGAGTCAGCACTGTGATTATGTTCTGGGACAAGAATCACTGTCTTCCCCTAAACATCATGCGCTCCAATGTAGCTTTGTAAACACCTGGGGACACAGTGTCCGGGTCCAGGTGATTTCCATGATGACAGAGATCAGGTGTGGATGAGGCAATCTGCCACCACTGGTGTTTGTTTCCAAGCTATAACGTCACACGTTTATCTTAACAGGTATATGAACCAAGGCATGCAGGAAGAGGTGTCCACAGCAGAGCGCTCTCTGAACAAGGAGAGACTTGCAGTTCTGAAACATGCTCTGAATGTAGTTGGCTTCAGCAGCTGGGTGAGTGTCCTTGTGAGGGTCTCCCACAAAAAACCAGCCTCCACCAGTTTAAAAAAACTCACTCATCCAGAACCATTCCCTCAGCCTTGCTCCATGTAGCCCATTGGTTGTTGCTGGCCCTGTCAATCTTCCAGCAGAGAACAGGCTTTCCTCTGTCCTCCTAGGGATTACTGTCCAGCAGGGGTAGGAGCAAATAGGGTGGTAGGTACCAAGAATGCAGATACTAGACAACTCATAGGAACATGACATTATTGCTATTTCCTTTCTTTTCTTTTTAAGTTTATGTGTGCTAGTGTTTTGCTTGCATGAAGTGCCCATGGAGGTCAGAAGAGGCGTTGGATCCTTTAGCACAGGAGTTACATACAGTTATGAGCTGCCTTGTGGGTGCAAAGAATCAAACCCAGGTCCTCCTCAAGAGCAGCTGGTGCTCCTAACCACTGAGCCGTCTCTCCAGCTCTGCCATTCTCAATAAAAATAGAAAAAGCCTTTCACATATGTATCTAGAACAAGCCACATGACTGTGTTGACTGACTTGTGAGGAACCTGGCCAGTCTACAGAAACTGCATTCTGTGAAATGATCACCCTGCAAACTAATGTAACCACTTTACTTAAATATCTTCTCTAGGAAGCTAGAGAATGTATGGCAAGTTTTAGGTCACCCCTGTGCCACAGCAACTTCCAAGACAATGGAAAGCCCCTTGGCCCAAGCCAAACTGCCTAGAACTACTAGCCCCTTCTGGATACTGGTCACTTGACTAGTGGCTGATGAGACTGAAGAAATTAATTTTTCATATCTTAAAATATTAATTGAAATGTTAATAGCCATGTGGTTAGAGGGTACAGCTGTGCACAGGGCCAGTCCTGAGAATTAGACATGAATGGTTGAGCCCCGGAGGAGGAGGTTCTCAGGAATCACTTCTGTTGTCCTGATGCCCTTATCTCTGCCCTCTCAATATGGAAGTAGGTGGTTGGGGTTGTGGCCAAGTCCTCCAGAAACAATTAACAAGAGGTCCATGGGGGCCCTGGTATGCCCACAGCTTTTGATCCCATATGTAGTCCTTTGTTTTTCAGAAGGCTGTGTGTTGCCCATGTCTGCAGTCTTAGCTAGCAGGGGCAGGAGGGGCAGGCAGGGGGAGGCACACAGGAACGCTGACAGACTCAGCCTAAATGGATTCACTGAGGCGCTTTGCTTGACAGGACCCCACACCTTTCAGAGCCCAGAGTTCCAGGAATGAGAGGTAACCTGATGGTGCCTTGTTCTGTTTGACCCAATTATCCAATGCCTACATTTCCTTCTTTCCCTGACCCGGCCCACTTGCATGCTTTGATCTGTGAGGTTTCTTTTCACACTCACCCACCCCCACCCGGAGTTTCTAGATTCCATAGGGAACAGGAGCACAGATGACAGGGCAGGAGACCATTTTACCAAAATACCATTCACTTGGAAACATAGCTTTGAAATTTCACACTTGATCCTCAAAGGCAGGGCAGGCAAAATCCACCTGCTGACCGTTAACAGCTGATAGAGATGGATGTGCATTTTAGCAAAAGGCCTGATGTCCATCCCTTTATCCTAAACCTTTAAAGTAATGTGAGGAGTAAAAATCATTCCACTTTGGAGTGATGGCCTCTGTCCATAATTAAGAACAGTATTTCTGGACAGGTATGGCCTTAGGAGCAAATTCTGCAAGGGATTATGGAACTGTTCCTCCTCTGCACTCCATCCCAACAGCATGCAAGCCGACTAGGCAGGAGGGTAGGACTGTCCACTGCAGACAGAGGCAGGAATTCAGGGCTGAACTCCCACAGGGAGGTTTTCCTGACCAAGTCCACCACATTGTCCTGTGGCTTGTGGTGAGTTGTCATAGCTCTGTCTCCCTCGCTGAATCCAAAACCCCTGAGAGCAGCACAGATCCTTCTTGTCTGTATGCTCCCAAGGTGCCCACCTTGCAGAACACTGAAGGGAGATTTATGCATGCTATCGAAGAGGTGAACACTTGATGGTCCATTTAAGAAGCTGGGGAAATGCTATTCTATCACACAAGGGAGAGTCCAGTGGGAAACGCTGCTGTCCACCATAACACTGGGATGCTATACCTAGGCATTACTTGAGAGGGAAGATCTCAGTCTCTGTCTCTTTAAAGATGGGAAAATGACAATTCCCAATGTCGGATCTTACCCCTCCTTTGTACAGTCCCAGGCTTCCAGACCCTCCTCCCTGCTTCCTGAAGTACCTTATATGCAATGAGAACTTGGGTCAGTGGGGCATTTCCTGTGGGAGCTTGGACTAAGTCACCAATTTTTTGGAATGATCATTAACCTGAACCCTTTGCTTTGTATAAGAACAGCAACATCAGTTTAAGGGTAATGTGCATTTGATTTGAGATTTGATTCTGAGCCCGCGCTGGCAGTTTCTTGATGTGCTGTTGGTCTGGAGAGCAGTGAGCCCATCACCAGCATGCTCTTTTGCTTCTAACGAAGTCCCTTCTCTAAGCAGTTCTGTCGGTTCTCTGTAAACACCTAGGAGGTGGAGAACCTGTTTGTTATCCTAGCGGCGATATTGCACCTTGGAGACATCCAGTTCACAGCGCTGACCGAAGCTGACTCGGCCTTTGTCTCTGACCTCCACCTTCTGGAACAAGGTCAGTGGACCACCACCCCAATGAGGAAAACATCTTTGATGTGCAGTTCCCCAGAACTGCCAGCAGATGGAGACATAGTACAATGAGCCAGCTGCAATAATCTCTTCCTAGGGCTCGTCTTGGGGGGAGGGGAGAACCTCTTTCTTCTCTAACGGGCTAGGGAGTGGGGGTAGCAGATAAATGTGCTTTCACGTCCTCATTCTGCTCACCACACTGGCAGCCTAGGGGTGTCCGCAGCATATACATGGGATACAATCTAAATATTCTCTGCCCCGGCCCCCCACTGTCCTTATAGTATTTGGAGACCAGGTCATCAGCTAAACATTATAAACACAATTCCCTTTAAATGCCTCGTTCAAGATCTCTCACTTCTTTGATGTCTTTCTAGCCACGCCCACTTTTTGAAAGTATCCTTAAACCACGAGTTTTCAAGAAACAGCCTATCTCATGTATTTCAATGTTATTTAATAAGAAATTTGGGGGTGGGTGATCGCCCAGCACCACAGGGGCAATGAAGGTGGAAAATGTGTCTTGAGTGAATCTAGAGAGCCATGGTATCCCTTTCATGTCTGGAATACTAAGGATGAGTTTGCCCTGGAGAGCAGAGTCGCTTGCCTTTACTTAATATGTATACATGAAGCATGTATGCAAAGTGCAGTGTTCTTGGTGTCAAAATGCACAGTGATTTCATATTCACAGGCTGTTTTGATTTCAGTGGCAGGCATGCTCCAAGTATCGACAGATGAGCTGGCATCCGCCTTAACAACCGATATTCAGTATCTTAAAGGTAAATCTTTGTGCAACCTGACTTTTCCCTTTGTACAGTTCTAGGTTTCTTTCAAGTAGGGAAATTAAAGAAACTGTGTCTGTCTCCATAAGGGGAAACTGTTTGTACAGATCAAATGCCAAAGGAGAGAGCTTTGCAAGCCTGCTTGGCCCCCCTTTAGTGTATGGGAACATTGCTGTGCTCCTGGGAGATCGTTCTGATTAACTAGCCCCCTTCCTAATCAACCTGTCATTTCAGAAAAACAAAGCCATCAATCTAAGAGGATTTATTCTCGTAAAACATGGACCTTTTGTGGGGGTAGGGCAGCCGTCTCTGCCTTTTCCGCTCATAATTGGAGCTGTCATTTATTGGGTGTTTATGAGTGGATGGCATAGTGCCAAATATTCTAAAAGTTGTCATTTCTGATCTCACAAATGGTCACGAGGCAGGCATAACTGTTTTTCTCCTCAGAGAGGAAATCATTCAGATTAAAAGGGGTTAATCACTGTGGATGCCAAGCCACTGGCAAGAGGCCTTCTCCCTTTATAGGTTGGCTTCCAACTCTCTACACACACCTACTCCCTGTGCACAGGAAGACTGGATTCCTAGGTGTCTTTTAGTAGATCCGATCCCTGTAACCCTGTCAACAGCTGCATTCTCACCTGGATCGAGACAGCAACCTCTGTCTGGACTTTGCTCATTTTCACCTCATTCTGCAAGAACAAAAACAAACAAAACAGAATGCCAAGGTGCTTTCAAAGAGACACCTGATCCCTTAGCTCCTCCCTGTAGCTCGGACTTCCGGGCCCCTCTTCATGGCCATTGCTAACCATGTCCCCAGCCACATTAAACACGGTGATGTTCTCCAGATGCAGGACCTTGTGGTGTTGTGTGTTTCTGAAGACACGTAAATTCACTTGTCACTTAGCATACAACCATCTGGTTTCCTCTGCTCACACTGCCCTCCCTCTCTCCCTCCTTCCCTCCCTCCCTCTCGTCCTCATCTCTCCACTACCACTAAGTCGGGCCCTCTTTATAACAGTGTTGGTACCATCTCCTAGAATGCTGCATTTAATTCCCTGACTGACTGCTGTCCCACACCCATAGCTTTGACCTTTCTCTCTCAGGACAAGGTTTCAGTGGCTGCTGCTCTCTTTTGAACTGGAGGGATTCTCCTGTCCCTGCCACCCACTCAGCCTGACATTTAAGGATGCACTGTGTTGGCCAAGGCCACAGGCAGAAATTCTAGCCCCCATTAATGTAATGTCTCCAACAGAAGTACTGTATTAGCTCTACCTGTGCCCCAGGTCACCCCAACTCTGGAATTTCTCTCTCTCTCTCTCTCCCTCTCTCTCCCTCTCTCTCTCTTGGAGAATGACCAATATTTCCTCCTGTAGGCTCAGTCTTGTTCCCTAGTTCCACAGGTACATTTTGATTGATTTTACCTTTACTTTCCAGACAGGCAAGTGTTCAAAATGCTCCAGGCTGGTTCAATGCCCAGCCCAGGGATGTTATCAGAAAACTCACTCACAGGACCCTGAGTTAGCTCTCTAACTGTTAGGAAATGGCCCAGATGTGGAGAAGTGTAGCAACATGGTCAGAAGGTCTAGTAAGCCAAGACACTTGACACTCGTTAGATGGCATCATTCGTCACCACTGACAGGTGCTTTGGTGTCATTTTCAACATTTTTGGGTGTGTAGGGATGTCACAGAGAATGGAAGGGCCATACACAGTTGTGATGGCTTCTAATGAGAGAACCACTTGTACCTTATATCTCTTCTTCCTTCTACTATTCCAGGAGATGTGATAATACGTCGGCATACCACACAGATTGCTGCGTTTTACCGTGATCTCCTGGCCAAATCTCTGTATAGTCGTTTGTTTGGTTTTCTGATAAACACCATCAACTGCTGTCTTCAGAATCAAGATGAATATAGAAGGTAGGAGTCGAAGATGTGTGCCTATGTTACAGTTGCAGATGCTTGTGCCTATGTTACCCTGTCACACGCAACTCAGGGGCTGTGGGTACTGAACCCTTAGATACCCCTACCACACACAACTCAGAGGCTATGGACCCACTGACCCCAATGTTACCCAGGCCATCACACAAGGACTACAGATGTTGGCCCCTGGGTTATTCAGCCACATGAAATCAGGGACTGTGGATGTTGGCCCCATGTTATTCTTCGATACATAACTTGGGCCTTACCTCAAAGAGAAGCTTCATATTACAGTAGATCCCAGGGGTAGGCTTCATTCAGACTTCATTTTAACAAGCTAATTTTCACTGGGAAGGTATTAGTGATTATGCTTTAGAAATATAAGCCCCCACCCCACCTCCCCACCCACCAGCACAGATGGATGAATCAAACTGTCTCTCAGGCATAGATATGCAAATGTGTTCCCTCTAGAATGAAGGTATAGATGTGGCCTTTTGTGCACAGAAAAGAATAGAAGTTTTATGAATCCAAGAACAAGACAGTCTAAGAATATCTAAAGCTCAGGAGTCGGTTGAGAGGCCACGTGTGTCTCTTCTGGGAGCCGTTTGATGATGTGTCTAGTTTTGCCTTGAGAATCCTCACTTATTTCGTGGGTTATTTGACAAAGGGCCCCTGTGGCTTATACCCCTAATCATCTCTAAGCATTAGCTTTCCAGGGCTATTTGATCATCTAAAAATTATAGATTTCCATGGCATTTTGTCAATGAAAAGCTCTGTTATTATTCTTGTCACTGGTAATGACCTTGAGCAGACATCTGAAAGGGAAATTGCACTCGGAAGTCTTCACAGGCAGGCTTGCCTTTGAATGAAACTCTCTGAGAAATGTTTTCTGTTGTCCTGGAGTTCTTTACTAAATTTTTGGATTAAGCCATTTCTTGGAAAAAAATATCAAAATTAATATCAATTAATGGGAAAGTTATGTGTATGGACATTTCAGGTTTTGAACTAAGGGTATAAGGATCCTTCAAATGTACCCATGCAGAATCCCAGTGCTCAATACTCCCTATGTTCACACCACTCCGAGAGCTTAGGGCAGCTCAAATGTTTTAGCAGAAACACCTGACTCTTTCTATGGGTGACGAGGGCTCCAGCCGGGCTCTTTAATACCATGGGGTTCCAGCTCTTGCTTCTTCTGTGTTGGTTAGTCTGTGGTCCTCTGCCTCCCTAGCCCTTCCCTTCCCTTTGACACAATACCTATGGGAAAGCTGGAGAAACAAAAAATTTAGTCTTGGTTTGGGGTTGGAAAAGATGCTCTCCAGCAAGGAAGGGAAGGCTGTGGGTGGGAGCAGGGAGTCCAAAGGCACCTTTCTCAGCCGTCAGAGAAAGGGGAAGTCCAGAGAAAGGGGATGGTACTGTCCACACTCAGGGAGAGTCTCCTCTTCTCCATCCAGTCTTATAGACCACCCCCTCCCCAAAGGTGTACCTCACAAATTCCCCCATACAGTCCTTAACCTGGTAAAGTTGACAACAGATATGAGATGTCACAACCTAGAAATGTGACGATGTGTTCACAGCTGTCACCCATGTGCCAAGTTTACCAGATTAACCTTGTAGAAAGATATTAGCACCCTTGCTCATGTGGATGGGGGCCTATTAACATTTAATTAATGCACAATCCTGGGGACACAGAAGCTTCCAGAAAATTCCCACTTGACATTTGAATCCTGCAGAGTCTTAAATGTATATGATTGGAAACACCTAGATCTGCCGAAGAGAAGAAACTTGGCCTCCTTCACAGCCAACACTTTGCCAGATGTGTCAGAATGGAAAAATGGAGAGGCAGCCTTAGCTCTTGCTGGTCCCAATAGACAACTACATGAAGAAAGTATTCATGGGGAATGAGAAATGAATCACAAATCATAGCTATACACCCCACCTCAAAGAGATAGTATCTCCTTGAAGTCATTGACAATTTTTTTTTTCAAGAATCACCCCAAGTTGGGTTTAAAATCCCAAGCAACACAGGGGAATTTTTTCCCTCTGTGGTATTTCTAACTCTTAGGAATTCTCACAACACCTCCTAGTCTACAGATCTGCTTTTTGAGCCAAAAAGGTAAGGTATGTTTGAATAACCTCACAATAGGCTTTTGGTGGAAGACAAGTTTAAAGCTCTGATGCCCTAGTGGTTAAAGTTGGCATGCACATCAAAATGATTGGATGTGACTGTTTCCATGCTGTATTTTACTGTGAAAACTTCAAGCAAGAGCAGATGCTGATAGGCTGTAGTTTAAGGTACTATGGAAGGAGCCAAGCAAGGTCAAGGCAGACCAGTTCATTCTTGGAATGAACACCTCATTCCCAAAGTATAATGGTTATATTATTGTAGTTGGTCTTTGGGCCAGAAACAGGCTTCCAAATAAAAATGTCTTTACATAATTAAACATATGCAGCACATCTTTACATAAACAAATATCCTGCAACATACTATGAAGAAACAATTGTACTTTCTCTCCTTGAATTCTATGAAGACTTCTTCCCTTTGTGGAAACCTTCTGGTGTCAGGCAGGGTATGTTTGATGACCAGTTAATTGAGATGAACATATACTGCCTCTGCATTTGCCTGGAAAATTAATGTGAGCTTTTCCTGGGCTCCTATCCACTGTGACCTTGACACCTGTGTGGCTTTCCCTGGATGCTTTAGATCAGGGCAGAGGCAGGTCAGACTTGAAGCATAGGAACTGTTTATGAGGCTTAGTTCAAAGTGACCTGATGCAAGGAGGTAGACAAAGCTAATAACAATAGCAATTAGAAACCTGGGTAACAACCATGGTTTGTATTTCTTTAATGCTTTACCCCATTCAATGTATATGAACACTAGTGCCTTTGGGGGTAAAATCCCATTAAATAGCTAAAAACTAAACAGGCATATTTTATTGTGAAAGGTGTAGTAGCTGGGAAGATAAAATGGGAAACTCCCTCACAGTCCCTCACAGCTTTCAGATGTTAATCCCTTCTGTGGACATTACTTTTTCCAAGCAATAATTTCTTGTGTGTAAGAGGAGTAGATGACAATATCACTACTAAACACTGACATAACCAGCCACGGGTGGTGACACAGACCTTCAATCCCAGCCCTGGGGAGGCAGAGGCGATGGGATCTCTGAGTTTGTGGCCAGCCAGGACCATAGAATGAGTTCCTGCTCTATACATAGAGACAAACCCAGTCTTGAAAACAAACCAATCAAACAAACAAAACAAAAAGCAAACAACCCCCAAAACAATTTTGCAACAAAAATAAAATAGAAAATTATAACAGCATAGTGTAATAAAATTATGCTAATATGTTTTTAAAATACCTATATTAGTGCAAACAGTCTGCCTCAGGATGGCCTGCTCTTGCAGCCTGCTGAGAGGCAGTTGTCCCTGTGGCTCCTCCCACCTCCCCCTTTTGTTAGCCACCAGACTCTAAGGACACTATTGCTCTTGTTCTTTGGGGGAAGGTGACACACAGTGCCCATTTTCATCTCTGTAGTCCTCATTGACCACATCAGCCATGGAGTAAGGCAAAGGGAGTCAGAATAGCAAGTCATGTGTCCGAGCTCCCAGAATTTGGCATGCCCACCAGATCCCTAGCTCCTGACACACTGTCAAGGGAGAGCAGCTGTGTCCAGCACATGCACTTACAGAGCCTATTAAAGGACAGCTGTGGGCAGTTCTTGCCCAGGTCCCCTCCCAGCATCCGCTGGGACACAGCAGTGCTTCGGTTCTGAGAGACAGGTATGTGGTGGACTGTCTCTATGTGGAAGGAGTTCCAGGACTCTGTAACCTCTTCAGACAACACATGGAGTGCCATTTAGAGTTCTCTGACACAGAAGATGAGGCTTCAGGTGATGCAGATGACATAGGCCTGTAGCTCCTATTCAGAGGCATTTTGACCTTTATTTCTCTGTGTTGAAGGCTCAGAGTCAAACCTGGATGACCCCCTGAGGGGTAGGAAAGCTCCTTACACTTCGTTTGTGTCTTAGTTACTTTTCTATTGCTGTGAAGAGGCACTATGACCAGGACAACTTATAAAAGAAAGAGTTTATCCTGCTTTACATGGCTAAAGGGTTAATCCATGACTGTGATGTGGGCAGCAGGTAGGCTGGAAGAATGGATCAGTAGCTGAGAGCTACCATTTTGAGACAATCAGGTGCCAACAACAGCTAACTGGGAATGGCATGGGTTTTTGAAGCCTCAAAGCCAGCCCCCAGTGATACCACCTCATACAAGGCCACACCCCCTGACCCTTCCCAAACAGCTCACCAAACTGGGGACTGACAACTGGAGACCATGTAGTCAAGCATGTGAGATTACAGGCCCACACCCTGATCTCATGAAGGTAACTCCTCACTTGAAGTTCCCTCTTCTCAGATGACTAGCTGGTCCCTCCACAGAGAGAAGAGCTTGAGAGCTCACATGTCCCTGGGAATAGGGAGGGCTCTGCTTGTTATGTAAAAGTACAAGGGCTTCTTCCAGGAGGCATGAAGTTTCTACCTCACCTTATCTTTTATTCCATGTACCGAGGCTGATTGTTGAATAGGAAAGGAGGCTGGTCAACTAATATTTGTGAAATTTCTCAAGCTATTCAGTCTCTCTTCTGCTAGCCAGTACTCATATCTGAAGACATGTGTGTTTGATCATGTATCTTAGCTATTTTTCTATTGTTATGGCATGATACTATGGCTAAGGCAACTTATAAAAGAACCATTTAATTGGGACCTTGCTTATAGTTCTAGAGGGTGAGTCTGTGATCACCATGGTGAAAGAACATGGTGGTATGCACTCAGATTTGGTGTTAGAGCAGGATCTGGATGCAGATCACTAAGTCATAGGCAGAGAGAGAGAGACAGAGAGAGAGGAGGCAGAGAAACACAGAGAGAAAGAGACAGAGACAGAGACACAGAGTCTAGAATGAGCTTTGAAACCTCAAAGCCCACTTCCAACAACACACCTCCTAT